ATCATGGAACAATTTCCAAATATCGGCCGAATGGGTTTCTCCAAACCGCCTAAATGACTTTTTGCTTTTATTTGTTTCCAGCATTTTGTGTTAGAAGCTATACTGCAAATAGCCCACACCGCATGCTTGCATGGGCATACCCATCAGCTTAACTTTATTATTGCTTTTTGTAGCGTGTCTGGGCATTTCTTTAATTGTTTGTTTAACTAACACGCTTGCCTGGCTCAAGACTCAACATGATACTGTCCAGGTCCTTTCAAAATGAGATCACATCAAATTTTCTATTTATGGCAGCTTTTCAACGACACTCAGCAGTGAATTTGTGTCAATACGACGGTTTTGAAAACCTTCTTACCTTGTTGCCTCACAATTTAATTATTTTTAATTCCCAGATTTAATTCTGCGTCCCACTTTGATGTGACCTTCCAACGCCGGTTTTGCAGCTTCAACTTGATCCTGCATTAAGATCAGGCGTCACTGTCCATAATTCCACCTAGTAGAGTATAAGGCATAATAAACCCTAACCCTTTACACTGATAGCCCTAGTAGGATTATGATTAAATAAGAAGCTGGCTGGCTCGTGCGATCCAAATAAAAAGCTGGCTCATATTTCAAACTACTCATGCAACCCAAACTCAGATGCAAGCTCGAGCGCTTGAAGCATCTTTTCCTTCATAATTTCCTTAGCTCCATTTATGGTCGCAATGACATTTACTTTAGCCTGCTCATCTTTATCATAAGGAAGGCATAAAGTAAAAACTAAAAGTAGAAGAACTTATAAGATATTTTATTATGGCTCCGTGAATAGCTTTAAATTATTTTGAAATATTTCGAGAGCTATTGAAAAATTGAAACAAGAATCTTTTTTCTCTTCTAAAAATCCTTCAACTATTTCCCAAAACCAAAACTTTTATGCTTTCAAACCATGCTCCTAGATTTTTTGTTCCATTCCTGTTGTGCTGATCGTGCAATCTTTCAAGCAAGTAATGGGTTTTTATTTCTTAAACGCCTTGGGGGTTTTTTGAAAATTCAAAAAGTTCAAGTTGTACGGTGACCAAACTGGTCCATTGCTTTAAAGATTGCTCGCTAAATAGCATCTTTTTGTTAAAATATAAAGCTTGAAAGCTATATATACGTAACATAGCAGTAAGCTGTAATCGGATACTGAATAGCTCGTTGAAAGCTTTGAAAGAAGACCGAAAGATATCATCTCTACGTAGGGATATCCACAGATCTCTGTGGATCTGATGATAAGTCATTTTAAAATCTCAAGCAAGAGGATGCACATTTACACCCTGAATCCTAAAATCTTGTAAACAATCATCGCTTTCAGTACGTATAGGTTTGATAGCCTGTCTTTGGAAGCCGCATTAGTTGATGAAAGCGCAATAATAGCAAAAAGGGCTATGAAAAACAGAAAGCTTTTTGCATTTATTGAGGCGAGAAGCTTTGTGAAAAAGCGGCCAGCGTTTTGTAGACTGTGTTGCATCGGAAAGTTTGCATCCAGTAAAACGATAGTGCCAATATTGATTCTCGATGGATGACCCCCGTGTAATTTGCACAAATTCAACCCTAACGTGCTATTTTGAAAGAAGTGTACTTTAAAAACCCTAAAAATTGATGAAAACATCCAACTTTGCGGATCTTGAACCTATGAGAACGTATCGAGACATGGTTTTCCGGAATTATGCCGGTGCTATCTTTTACTTTTTTGTGTGTGTTTTTATGTCACAAAGAGGATTGTGCTATATTTCCTGCAAAAGCGTGACAACTTCCAAAGCAATTTCGGCTGGGAAATTGGAATGAACCCAATGCCCAGCAGAAGGGAATTCTACAATGCGGTTTTTGGGAAACAAATAGTTGATGTCACAAAAATCCCTTTCAGTGATGTAATTTGATTTACCGCCTTTTATGAAAAGACACGATTTTCGAAATGGAAATTTGTACGCGCCGCCCAGCCCTTGGGGTGGTGAATTTGCACCAACATCAAAGTGATGGTCAATAAAGGTTTCCAAGGCATCGAGATTAAGACGAATTTGGACTTTCTCAGCATCAGGAGAAGTAAAAAAATTTGTCCCAACCATCCACTCGACAAGCTCATTGCCATACTGGCACTCTAAAAGATACCGTTTGCACTTTGAAATCGAGTTAAAGTTTGCTGCTTTTCTCAGGTTTTGGATCAGCGAAAGATGGAAGGATTTGACGGTTTGCTTGTCTAGCGACCGCGAAAAAGGAGAAATATCCAAAAGCACAAGCCCTTGCAAGAGGGAATTTGGAGATTGCGTAGCCATATTCATGGCCACTCGGCCTCCCATTGAATGTCCACAAAGCACAACTTTGCGTGCGTTCTGGGACTGAATAAAGGCGAATACGTCATCGCTCATGTCCCTAATTGAATGGGAATCACAATGTGGGCTGGCCCCATGATTACGAAGATCAACTAGTGCAACAGAAAACGAATTGGATGCATTGGCTACGATCTTCCTTCCAAGTGTCCTCAAGTTCCTAGAAGATCCATAGAGCCCATGCAATAGCACTAGCAGATTGGCATTGGTGGCATCCTTGGGGGCCCTAAGCAGCTCAAAAAACAATCTGGCCAGCGGAAAATAAAAAATGCATGTTCATGCGGTCAAACTTAAAAACAGGCACATCCGCTGCCCAATAATTTAAATGGCGTAAATTCGAAATTTCCGTGGAGCGGCCACCGAGTGCTTTCCCTGCATTCCTAACCCTAGCCCTAAATTTAACTGCAATTGCTGAAAAGGAGGTCAGTTGAAAATATTGGAAACCTTAAACCCTAACCCTCAAAGGAATTTAATTGCAAACACTTTCAGTATTTACCATTGATGTCGCGTCTCATTATTAACAGGGCCTCCGCTATGTGCCGAAAGAATGCAACCCATTGGCCCAATATTACACGCAGACTATACTCTGAAGAGAATTTCAAAACAAGCTTTACGCACATGTATGAGGCTCTGCGTCCAATCGAGGAGCGAATCATTGCCTTGAACTTGGAACGAATTAACGACACCTCTAAAATTGATGCGCTTCTTGAAAGGGGGCTGATCACACAGATTACGGCCGATTTTTACCGCGCAAAAATTATTGAGCAAGCCAATGCTTTTCGTTGGATCCGCAATTTTATTAATTTATAGGTCAGGCCCAAAGATACAAGAACATGTTTTGGTACATCGGCCTGCCGTTGATCGGACTCGCCGGCCTAAATGCCTACTTCATGACCGGGGAGGAGGAGCTCCACGAACATCCGGAATATGTTGCTTACCCACATTTACGCCTACGTTTGAAGGTATTACGTCGTTTTCGCTAATTGACGCATAGAAATTCCCATGGGGAGACGGTGACAAGACCCTCTTCCATAACCCGGAGGTGAATCACTAGAGATTAAATGTCTGGATGCAATAAAAATTGAAAGCATATCGAAAATATTCTAAAGCGAGGCCTCAAGTCCGACGTTCAAAGGGACACGATTTTCCAACCTGCGAAACAATTGCCTTTGAAAAAAGAGCGCCAATAACGATGATGACGCCAACCCACTGCACGAAAAAAAGCGAGCTTTGATGCAAAAGTACCTCTGAGGCAACGATTACAAAAAAATGGCGACAAGTCATGACAAGGACGTGTCCAATTGAGGTTAACCTTTGGATGCTAATCAAAATCAGCAACTGTGAGCACGCAGAGGAGATGCAAAGGCCAAACAATAAAATCCAGGGGATTGAAAAAAACTTGAGCGCGTCCGCTGGATCGTACAAGGACGAAACTAAGATGATCGCTGCAGAAAGCATCAAGCCCGATCCGGACTGGACGAGAAGTACGCCAAAGCTCCCCTGCAACGTCCGAAAGTTCGGATCAATTCTAGAAATAAGCATTTTTTCCTGGATGATCATGGTCATGCTATCCAAAACAGAATGAAAGAAGATGAAAAGCCCGCCTATTGACTCGTACGCAAGTGTATTGGAGGGAAAGAGAAATAATAGCAATACCCCAAATACTACAAGTAAACATATCACTGAATCGAGAAGAGAGGGAAGAGACCCCGTCATCGCTGCCCGAAGAAGAAGCGTGGGAAGAATTTTTGTGCATTTTCCAACAGACTGCAGCGACAGAGGAATGTAGATCAGTGACTGGTATTGGCAGGCTGTTGCGGCGACGTTTGACAGAGAAATCAAAAGACAAGAAAAGGGGCTTTTTTTTGCTAACAAAGTTGCAATTTTCAAGCTCGAGAAAGGAAACTGCGGCGCCCCAGATGGCATCGAGTAAGAGGAAAGATTTTCGGCCTGATAGAGGGGAATCACATCTTCAATGGAAGCTTTGGAATAGCGCTCATCATTGTACGCGCCAACGGTAAGCATTTTGGACAAAAGGATTGCCAACAAAATCAAAGCAATAGTACCGATCTTGTTCCAGGCGATCAGATATATAAATAAATAGCCAATGTCCTCTCCATGGTGTATCATAATCCTTCCCTGAATCGTGCTATACAATACAAGGGTAAAAATTGCCGCAAAAGCAACGACACCATTTATCAGGACGGTTCTGATCGGACTCATCGGATTTGAAAAACCGATTGCAAAGCTGAAATCCAATGAAATTTCCAAATCAAGGGGTATCAAAAGCTAATTTTGGACTCTTTTGTAAAGTCTGATCGAGTATGCTGAATTGCCCAATCAGCGATAGTCACAATAATAAGAAATGCAAAAAAGATGCCAAACCCATAGCCAAAGACATGAGAGGTAGGGCCATATGATGCAACTTGATTGGCTCGAACAAATGCTGTCTCGCGAGGGACAGTAGAGGCAATTGAAAATGGCGGAAAAGCCCTATTTCTAATAGTACCGGTTGAAAGCTTATGCCGACCCACATCCCTTGCATCAGAAAAGGGTGGCTCGTATTTCTTTTGAGGCGATATATCAAATGCCGCATGCACTGGCCTTGAATAGAAAGAGGAACCTATTGGTTCTGAATGTTCCATTCGGGCCTCCATTTTCTTATGGGCTGGCGGTGCATAATATTCAATATGGCCGCCTCGATATCTTTGTGAAAGAAATGGGTTTCTTTCTCGGTTTCTGCGCACGATGGGAGGCATCTTTCAACAAACTTCAAATGTGTCGTTTTTGAGCAAAATCAGGAGTGATTGCCTTCAACAAGATTGGAGACCGAATCTTTTCCGAATTCTTGTAATGCAATTCAGATTGTTCATGGATTGAAACGGCTGAACCAATGAAATCATATCGTTTGCAAAGGTTTCCAAACAAATTCACAAATTGTTTATTAAAATAATACACCATGCCATGGAATACCATAGCGTATGATGCCACAGCGTACCGTACCATGGCCTATTGTATCTTATGATGCGAGGTGGTGCGATTTCATGTGATCCTCTGTGATGCATGTACAAATATCATTACTTCAGTTTTGATCTGCAACATTACAGCCAGGGCAAGTATAAAGCTGGCTATGTAAAAAGCCGTTGCACTCTTTGCAATAGCAACACTTGCAGTTTGGACATTGAAAAAATAGTTGGCCATTTGAAAGATTACAGCAGAAACAAGGGCCTCCTGCAGCCACTTCATCAAAATCTTTTAGCGGAAATAAATGATGCAGGGAGCGCCCAATGTGAGACGATGAAATCAGAGTGAGCTTGCAAACAGGGCAGTCTGACGGAATGAAGCACACAATTGCTACGCATCGAGGGCAAGAATAGCCAGAAGATTCCAATCGACGACTGTGACTACAAAAGGGTAATGTGATATGGCGGTGCGTACCAGGTGCAAATATCAACTGGATTGATGCTTTGTTGAGGGAATCCCATTTTTACCAGCTGAACCGATTTTGAATTCGTGGCAGAATACAATGGCCTGGGCTCGGCAAAAGTCTCAAGCAGCTCTTTGAAATTAAAATAGTCAAGCGCGACGGCAAATGAACCTAAAGGTAAATTTTCCTCATTACCGTTGGTAAGATTGCACATTCTCTGCGCCACAAATAGCGCAGCATTTGTGTGGATCATGGAGATGGAAACACCAGCCTTTCTAGACATATCGATTGCAGAATTGATATCGCCGGGATCAACAGAGGATAAAGCGTTAAATAAAAAAAGAATTTCTTTGCTCGCTCTAACAGGTCCTGCTCAGGAAAAAGAGCTACAAATCTTACTGGAAAAGGGCTACCGAAAGCCGTAGCGCGTTTTCTAAAGAAGCAGACCCGGTACCATCGTCTATCACTGATGTATTAAATTTTTCCACCAGCAAGTCCAGGTCGCAAGTTGGGGGCACCAAAACAGTTGCAGTCCCATTAAAGGTGGCGACTATTGACAGCTGTCCAATCGGATTCGACTCGAAGAATAATTGAAAAAACCTCTTCTTCAAAAGATCGCTAATGGCAAATAGTTTCGAGGGACGCCATTCCTTGTCGTTAGAGGGTTCCGAGGTATCCAATATAATGCACAGGTGCCGGATAATTCCTCGCTTGGCTGTCGATGCAACTTTGAATGGATTCTGTGATATTCCTTCGATAAAGCTATCGCTAGATCCTTCTTCGTTTGTCGTACCGAGGATTGTGGAAAGCATTTTGGCAGCAGCACTTTCCCATTGGGTTTGACCAGCTTTTGTAGACATTTAAAATTGCAAATTTTTACGGCCAATTTGGTAATTAATAGTGCAACCTTTTCCGGATTTCTTAAAATATGAACTTTAATCCATGACCACCTTAGTGCATTTTACGTGTCAATACATGTCTGATGGACACATTTGTTTTCAGTCACATTGAGTGTTTTGTTTGTAGCCACAAGGCTATCGATCGAGAATCCTTATTGTACTAATTTTTCTGTCTGTCGAAACTACCGAAAAATACTACCTAGCCCTTAAATTAACGATTGAAGGTTAGTATCGAGTTCGTCCAACCCTAACCCTAACCAACTTTTAGATTAAAGGAGGGTATTAATTGACCTAACCCCGGTCCATATTCGCCCTACAGCTCGTCTGGCGCAACAAGAGGAACAAGAACGATGTAGATAACAATACACGACCTCTTTGACCTCCACATGACGTGGATGCTATTTTAAAGTGACTTTTCTTTGCAGTAGGGTTTAAGCACAATGATGGCGCTCACTTTGTGTGAATATTGTTCTTTGATGCCATTTTTCAATTTGTGAAATTCACTAGAGGCCACCATGCTTTTCGATGGCTTAGCAACAGCTTCAACTTGGTGCAAACGCCACGGCAATTTAACATGCAATCTATTAAGGGGTTTCGCTTTCCAGAGCAGATGTGCAAAAGATAACATTTGCACTATGAATTTTCTTGTGTTTGACAATTTTCAGGATCTTTTATTTTGCGGTAAAAAACGGCCCAAATTTGGAATGGCCCCAACATTTTAATCTCACCATGTGTGGTAAAGCTGCTGTCTGCTCCCGGTTCATCCCATGGTCCGGTGCGTTTTTGAAGGATTTAAGGCCAGGGTCAAATTTGGGGTTGAAATAGAGGCTTATCAGGTCCCATCATTTTAAATATTCACGACTTTAAAGTTGAAAAAGCAACCGCTGTTCAAATTGGAGGCGGGAGCGGGACCCTCTCCTCGCTGTTGAGACTCCTGGTTGCTGATACAACGGTTGGAGACAGCTGCCCCAAAGCCTCCACGGCAAGCTGCCTAATTTCTGCGGAAAAATCGGTTTCTGAAATCTGTTGAATAGTTGTGATGATTTTGTCAAATTCCAGGCCATTCTTCATGTGCATGGCAGCTAATAGGGCAGAGTTGATTGAGAACACATCTGATGTAGATGGCGACCTTAATCTCCCCTGAAGGGTGTTGAAGATCACTTCAGTTATTGGATGCGTATTTGCAATTTCTTCCCTCAGCGAATGCGAAGCAGTAAATGTAAGATTTGAAAGCAGCGGCAAATATTGCTCTTTGGAAAGCAGCTTGAAAATCGAGTCTTTACCAAACGTATTTAAAAGCCAATCGATCTGTGAAAGGGGTCAAAACTATGCAAAAATACCTGGTCAAATGAATCGGCACAGGCAAAGTTTTGAAGGATGCCTCTGGCTGCCGTGTATTTAGGCGAAATGATGGCCTTTTTGCTTTGCTCCCCAAGCGAGGAAACAATAAGTTTGCGCAGCTTAAATGGAGCCCTGTGCGAAATGTTCATCAAAACTTGCAAGATCTTCTCAATCAGTTCGTTCTCTGCTTCGTCGCTGCATTGTCGAGACAGCTCGTTCTCAAGCAGTAAGGCGATCTTTGGCACCAGGCCAGCTTTTATATATTGCTAGAAATAAAATACCACCACAGCCTTACCAGACGCAATCCGGCGAATTCAAGCGACAAATTGGCAATCACGTTCAATAGGATGCCTGTAAATTGAGGGCTAAAGTCCCTAAGCTCATAGCCGAGCTTGTCGATCAGAACCTGAACAAGCTCAGCTCGATGAAGATCGTCAAATCGAATGCTTCTCATTTCTTGTACGTTTCTAGATAGTGCTCTTAAGGTTTTCAACGCAACTACAAGAAGAGGCTCGTTATTCGATTTGATGTGCGAGATCAAAATCCTGACAAATTCCAGCCTCTGCTCATCAGATTCGAACAAAACAAAAGAGGGGAACTCGTTTTTAGTCAATTCCTCCAATAGCGACCAGAAACAATCCAACGCCTCCTCTGGAAATGAATCCATTTTGGCCAAAAGAAGCTTTGCAAGCGGGTCCACATTGTTTACGGATGGGATAACCCCTTGAAAGGAGGAAAGAGCTCGATACTTGTCTCCTTGAAATAAAGCCAATATTTTTTTCAATAAAAGCAATGAAACTCTGATTTGGGACTTTTTGACCGCAATTGTGGGTGTGGCTACACTGCATGGAGTTTCTACCCCACAATTGCACGGTAAATCCTCAAATTGACAATTGACGCCGCGGAGGAAAAAAAATATGGTCGGAATTGAGCGATTGATGACAAAATTTGCAAAGTCTGCTCTGAATGTAGCATTCGGATGCGACAAAATTATCTAAAGCATCATAAAACTACAAGCTACCTTGGTAAAGATCGAAGTCAAAGTTAGCCTCTCCTTTTGCCTCTTACTAGATGCACTCAAGATTTCCATACAATATTTTGAAAGCTCCTCAGCATAAGATTCGGTAATTGAATCCAGTAGCTTTAGCTTACATTCGTCAATGGAATAGAAGCAGCCATTGTTAATGTAAGAAAATAGCCAATCGACAATGCCTTCATTTTGTAGAACGAAAATCAAAGATGGCTTTGAGATGCAAAAATTAGCAAGCAATGCCATGATGATCGAAACCTCTCTGTAATCGTATCCGGCTAAAGCCGAATTTTTGAACTGATACAGAATGGTGGAAAATTTCCTGATCAACCGAACTGCTTCTGTCGTTGAGGGATAAGAACGGTCCGTTAACACAACCAAGGCTTTAAGGGCCCAATTCCACTGGCCTGCCTCGATATTACTGTTTGTAAGGAACGAAATATAATCCAAAGTGAAAGAATAGCCTATGCCGATATTGCTATTGGTGATCAAAGAATGGACGGTTTTTAGGGCACAGATCCTTAATTCCACTTCTCCGCTATCAATGGCTTCATCTTCAGAGTTTGAAAACAATATTGTCTGAAGACGAGGAATGAGATCTGCACTTGCGTATAAGCGTTTGCGCATGGGATGCCCAACCAATTGGTCCCTGATGTGCATTAAAGCTTTAATGGTCGCCTCGGTTGTTTTCTCATTGATAGAACAATTCTCGCTTGCAGGAGATTTGTGAGCGCCATCTGGAACACAAAGGGAAGAAAGGATGCTGTGGTCCAATAGCCTTAAAGAAGAGGCTATGTCTACCTTTAGCTCGGCCTATCATGTATGGTTGGGATGCATCTTACCGTTAAATGGTCATTGATAAAGCGCTCATTATTGAATTGTGGAGAGATCATCAAAACCTAGGGCTTGAAGCGCATCATTTTGCCATATCAAATGGGGGATTGGTGCAAGGTAGCGCCGAGTCCACCCATTGTAATTGGTTTGTCGACTATTTGATTTTAAATTTTGGATTCAAGTATACAATGTGAAAACTTTACTTTATAAACATTTGGGGAAAACTAGTCTGAAGCGATCCGCGTCATCCAATTGCTCAATAGGTAGTAGTACTGAAGATGCATATATACAATCAAGACTTTCTTTACTTATGGAGAGCAGATTTCCTTTAGCTCCGTCAAATAGTTCTTTCAGGGCGATAACCGTATCTGGAATTAACTCGGAACCCAAATTGGGTAGCGTATTTTCGACGGACTGAACATAGTAAAGGGGAGAAACTTCACTGCTAATTGGAATTTCTGTTGGGGCAGCCCTAATTAGCCTCCAATGGCATCCTGGATTTTCTTTGTAAAATCTACTTTTACAGTCAAGAGTATTCTTGAAATAAAAAAGACCATCTGGCTCTCCTAGCAATTCCAAGACAACCTCGTGATTTGTTTTGTTTATAAAAAGCACATTGAATCTTGATGCTTGACTTTTATACGTCGTGAAAGCTACCTTCTTATCTGTATTGGGTACCAGCGATAAGAAAAGGGCATTCTCAGATTCCAGTAAATATGGGCCGTTGTTTAGTAAGCAAAATTCTTCATTGCATCTTGAGGTAGAAGCCAAAAGAATTGCAATATTTATAATAAATAAAATGAGGCTATTGATCATACTTAAGTGTTAGATGTGATGTGATGTGATGAGAAATTTTGTGTTCTCGGGCATTTCGTTACGAAAAGTAGCCAATAAAAATGCAGCTTCAAGTAACTCTTATCTATTTATTTATTTAATCTAACCCTAACCCAATTGGGTTGAAAGTAATGGTAGTCCCCATGTTAGGATTTTTCTGATTGATTATCAAGCCTGGTGGAGGCTCAATTGCCTCCAAAAGTACAAACTCCATCTCTTCCCCATCTTTGGTCGGTTTGAGGTCAAGCCTCTTTGTAGCGTTGTGGTTAAACACAATGTACTGCTCTGTTATGCAATCTGTTTCACTTGCTGCCTGACCAATCGGAGTCTGAATTAACCAGGTATTCTCTCTTTTGACCATATCGTCGGCGGTAAGCTTGCAATAGCACACTTTTCCTTGCCTTTCGACGAGGACCCATTTCTTTTTCTCTACAAAAATTTGATTTTTATCGGTGATCTCCGGCAAAGTAAGTTCTTCATCCATAACCGCAATCGATATGCGTGTAAAGACACCGTCGTCTGCACAGATTGATGAAGCCGGACAAGATGATTTCGTTTCTTTGGACGACATTATGCCTTCGGGTACAGGAGCATTAGATTGGACTACTTGAACATCTGGCGTATTTTCCGGGTCCTCATTAACGCGAATACTTTGATCGCATACACAATCCTTTTTATCCACATCGCTGGGGGTCTTGGGGGGCTTTGGGGGCTTGGGGAGGAAGAATTTAGGAATCTCATCGGTCGTGGGATCCGGATTTAACAGCGAGGGCGGTAGATCTTGTATGCTATTCTTTTCGCATCCAAAGTTGCATCCATCGCCACACTTTCCTTCTGAAGTTTTTTTGGGAACAACATGTTTGCCATAATATTGAAGTACGGCTCTAGAACGCACGTTTTCTCCTGGAAAAGAGAATGAGTCCGATATCAAACAAAGCACTAAGAAAAGAATAAGGTAGGATCCGTAATAATTCATTTGAAGTGCGGAGGAGTAGTACGTCCACTGTAGCTAGCTATATTAAAGTGACATTGGTATGACCGATTGGGTACAAAAAACCCCAATGAAATGGAATGGCTTACCAATCAAATTGAAAATTAAAATTTACTTTTAAATTGAAATGGACCTGCGGTTATGGCTGACCTCTTCTTCTGTCTCCGCGCGCAAAGACAGATTCGATGTTCCCATTCCGATCTCGACATTTAGAAGGAATAAATTGGAGGGCGAGTCCCTGTTGGTCACTTTTGATGGCCACATTGTATATGATCTGTCAGAATTTTGCAAGTACCATCCTGGCGGCATCGCCATATTGGAGAATTCAAAAGGAACGGACATCTTGGAGGCCTTCAGTAAGTGCAGCTAATGTTCACATCTAGATAAGCATCACCCCTGGGTAAACTATACAAAGCTGCTTGCAGGGTGTGTTGCGGGCATCCTGGTTCCCGACTCTTGATGGACCAGTTTTTTCGCATCAGATATCTTTTGGTATCGGAATGGCGTTACCACTACCTTAATTCAATGAAGCCGCATCTTTATGTTTGATTCCCCATTTAGGGTTAGCATAACTTCAAGGGGCAGGGGCGGAATTAGGCTATGGCTGGCCTGTAACCCTAAATAGTAAAAATTTACCACCAAAGTTGGGTTAGTGTGGGGGGCCGGCGTCACCCATAAAGGCCTGGATTAAGGTAATGCTCGGGACGAGCGTACACGGAAGAAGACTGCAAATACGTAATATAGCGGCATTCACACGCAACTGCAATCAAGAATTAGATTTTATTAAATTATTGACGCTCCACGTAAGAAACGGCAAGCTGTCTAACTCGCTCAATATGTGCCTGCGAGCCAAAGCTCTTTTCAAAGTCAAGAAAGGTTTTAAAAAGGCTCTTCATTCGTTTTGAAGAAAAAGGAAGAACTGCGACTCTTTCGTAAAGTTTTCGCAAATACTCAACACTAGGCTGAGGAGCCCCAAGCTTGGACACCTTCTTGGTGGCAGACCCATCGTGCGATATTCCGCGGAGGCCTTTGCGCTCTGCTTGCAAATAGAGCATCCAGAGATCAAATCGCTTTGGATGCTGCCCAATGATAGACTCTATCATGGAACGTCCCATGGAAAAATCACCTTCACAATATGCCTGCAGCGAAAGGCGCGTCTGCAGTTTGATAAACGCAGGCGGTGCCAAAGAAGATTTAGCCCGTCCCATAAGCGATGATGAGGACGAAGAAGAAGATGATGACCGCATTCCCAAATACTCGAGTGAAAGCAATGCAAGCCAAATTTTTCCGGAAGCACGGAGGATTGGTTTCGCCAGCATCAGATTCTCAAGATGTGAGATCAAGCGGAGGGCCCTGGGGCGCTGTATGCCATTATTTTTGATAGTATCCGTGACAAGCTGCCAGGCAGCTAACAATAAATGTTTGGAGGAGGAGGCTCTTGCCAGCCCTTCTGCAAGGACCTCGTCAAAGTTGTCCTTCACAGTATCAATTTTTGATTCAGAGAATGCCCATTCAAGACGAAGCCATGCGATCCAAATGTTAAGCTTTTCTCCCTCTGCACGATAAGGAATTGCAGCAAGGGCACGCTCGGCAACAGCCCTTGCTCGCTCCATTGAGCCTGCATCGGATTCAAAAGCCATGTAGGCGATCCAATTGAGCGAAGACGCCGGATCTGCAAGAACAGCACGTTCGTGATCCTCATGTGTCGAAGGCACCCTTGCTGGATCGGCTAATGCTCTTTCTATAAAATCAACCGAAAGCGGATCTAAGGTCATCTTCCCCTTTGCAGTCTTGGGATGGGCCTGGAGATCAGGGTTCAAACCAACCTCAACCTCAGCCTCCGTTTCAGAGTCCGAGTCCGAGTCCGAGTCGGTTTCTTCATCCATATAGATGGATGAAGAATCAGTAGCGCTAGGTATTTGTGCTTGTTCCTGAATGCTTGCAAGGATCGATGCACCGCGAGAGCGATGAGTGCGATCTTCTTCTGCCAGCACGGGTGTTTCCAAAGCAGCCTCTTCATGAGCTAAAGGCCGAGAAAGATGACCTTTTCTGATGGGTCCTTTCAGGGAAAGCGAAAGTTTGATTAAACTTTCACATCCAGGGACTATCCATGCCTGCACGATGGCCCCCACTGGTGGTACTTGCTGCCACCATGTTTGTGAGTACAGCGGGGTTGCATTCCGCGGTAAAACCAATCCGGAGCTTGTTTCATCGAAAGCCATGAAAAGCCCCATGGTTGGATGAATTCCAGAAACGACACCAACGACCATCCGGTTTGCCAAAATCTTCGAGGAGGGTGGTGAAATTCTTTCTTGGCGAAGCATCTTCCGCGTAGCAATTGCAGCCTCCCACAGGGAGCCAGTGAAGCGTGAAGCCAATACTGGAATTGGAATGCGAAGCGAAAAGGTGTGCTTTTGAGTTGGCTCCGCTTTTGTTGCAGCGCCTTGCTTTTTGGTAGCGACGGTGTCACCATTCTCGTGTTTGGCTGGAATTTCACTCTTGTTCACAGAGCCATTGTCGACGCCTTTCTCGTCGATATCATATACATTGGCAAGCATCAGCGCACGGCGAAAAGAGGCGGTCAATGAAAGGGCTGTGATAGGGTCGTTGGGATCTTTGGCCATAGGGCCAAACTTGCGCTCAGCTGCCGCAGCTTCAGCCTCATCTTTGCATGGACTTGGATCTAAATGCCACAATTTGAGGGGAATTCTAGGACCCTCAAGGGCCAAAATCCCAGGTGGGGCTTCCATAGCGAGTGTTGATTCGACAATAACAGAACACACCATTACAGAGTTAGAAGGCGTAAGGATCTTGACAAGAACTTCCCTGGGTCCAGTCACTGGCATCGGCGCCTCCAACACCACTTCATTGGAAGTGCACGAAGAAACGCGGAGACCAAATGTATCCCCTACACCATAAGTAGTCAAGGTTTCTATTGCCGCACAAGAATTGGATACATCGATCCCGGCTGATGCGCCAAGCTGGGGAGATGAATTTTCGGAAAGAATACGCCCCAAAAAATCGCTAGAATGCAATTCGTGAAGCTTGGCAGTGGCCTTGAGCGGGCCATATACATGCGGAAGTGCGAAAAAGGCGGTCATCGCACCATCCGCATTGAAGATACGCTCCAACGAAGCATCTACCATCTGGTTGTGCTTTGGAAATTTGCGTTGTGAAACAGTTTCTTGGAGAGCTGCTGGGACAACTTTGTAAAGCGCCCTTCGCTCATCAAAGCCAATGATGCGGAGTTCGTGCACATCGCCCGCTTGAACCTTGACATTTGGGATGCTCGTTGTCGCGAGAATTCCACGCGCATCTCCATAGAACCCAAATATGACAAAACGCTCCTTGACCACAAGAGCGTAGCCGACCGTGAGCGTGCCAGCAGCAACAAGTCCCAGGCGATCAGAAACGATGGGAATGTTTGGAGCGATCCGAAGAAGTGCTGGTTTGCGCGTCAAAAGGGGCTGAGAGGAGCCAGAAGATGAAAAGGCAAGCACTCTGAACTTTCTTCGATCACCGACACCCAGTGGTGCGCTTTTGTTACTACGGTGATCGTTTTTTTCGAACCAGTGGAACCTGGGACAAACACCATGGAAGCCCTCTCCAATTTCGACAACCATCATACTATTATCGACACGAGTGACGGTACCCCACACAACCATCCCGAGTGCCACTGTATCTCGGGTGATTGTCGTGATGTCTATAGGTGTCGAATTGGCCATAGTTACCGTGACAGTATTATCGATTGCATTCCAATCCACCGGCACTGCTGTTGCGATATCTCCAACCTTTGACTGGATCTCTGATGAAAAAAACCGTTGAGCGGCAAACGGCATCATGGAACTGGCCAAAAGTGAACCAAATCCCGGAATCAAGCTGCAAACAGAAAGCTCCATTTGCGATGGTAATGAGCCTGTTGTGGAAAGCTTCGCAAACGAGCCCAACCGCTCTGACATGGTCAAAAGATGTGGCAAAAATGAAACTCCCACGGAACGCTCTGTTGACTCTGTCCACAGCACTATGCAAGGTCCAAGACGAGCACCTTCCTTTTTTTCTTCTGTATTGATATGCATGCAATCTGCAGTGGCTCTGAATGTTGTCTCGCCCAGAGAAAGCAAGGCTCCTCTTCCAGGGATGTACTTGAGCAAAGTAGAGCCAGAAAAAACGGTTCCTGGTGTGATTTCTTCAAAAGAAAGATCATTTCTTGTGCAGTGAATTTCTCCGGGAAGCGAAAGGCGAGGAATTCGACCTTTGAAACTGGAAATAGTGACCAACAAAGGCATTCCTGGACGCAAATCCAGCAAGTCTGGGCACGGATTTGGAAGGAAGCCTACCTTGTCGGCCTCTTCGTTTATGGAGATTAAGAATCCGCGCTGCTCTTCGACAGATGTGACTGTGCTCATCACAGAAGTGCCCTCTGCCGGCTTGGTGCTCCCTTTTACAACCTCAAGGTGGATAATTCGAGCTTTTTTTCCTGAAGCGTTTGAATCCTCAACAACCTTCACTTGTGCCAGAGATCCTGGAACTAAATTTGCATCGGTGCATCTTCCTTGAAGATTATTTGGTAGCGAAATGATGATGGAGGTTGACGAGATACGTCGCTTTACAATCCCAAGAAGATGCATTTCTGGAGTAAGCCTTCCATGTGAAAGAGGATGTATGAACGGAAGAGGGCCTTGCATGGTCACCTCCAACTTGTCAAGGCCATCCTCGAACTGAGCGTCTTTGTAAAGATGATTTGCTGAGCGCCTGATTTTTTTGAACTTTTTTGGAAAGGCCGCACGAGCCGGTTTGGCTGTTACAGCTTTTTTCTTGTTCGACTGGACATTCTTGGAGGCCTGCATGAACAGACGCTTTCGTTCATGATGCGGGAGAATAGGTTTACCGCCTCTGGGAAAATCCATTAAGATAAAAAATTTCGATTTCAATTTAATTATGTTTTGTAAAATCTCAACCACATTTAACCCTAACTTTGCGTTGGCGTCAACAGATTAGGGTTGAACTTTAACATTACAATGACAATGCGCCCGCGTGCCCACCTGGTGTCTGCCCGTAGTCAAGAAATGGAAATGTGCACCATATTCTCAAGAGAAAACCTCAAAAGGCAAAAGATATTCTGGCGAGCGCCAGCTAATTGCAGAAAGATCCTCCGATGCCAAAAAATTAACGGGGAAAAAGACGAGGGCCCCCTTTACTATGTTGCCTTCATCCGTAGGTGATTTGAGAAGGGCTTGTTGTCGTTCTACAAAGGCTTTGTATTCGGACCAGGTGGTAACCGTGTCGTCTGGAAGGGCGGAAAAATGGCTGCGATAGAATAGGGTATTTTTTTCTGCCGTTGCTCGCAGGATTTGATGATAAAAGAAATCGTCGTTGAGTGTGATGGAACTAAAATGCTCACCCAAATGCTCGGAAAGCAGGCCCACAAAAAGCTCCTTTACTCGGTGCTCGTCCTCAATAAGGAGGGCAATTTCAGAGTCTCGGAACCCCAACATCGAACGGTCATTGATGTTTGGAGAGCCAACGATAGCCTTCCTGTCATCGACAATGAACACCTTGGAGTGAACATAGATCTGCTCACACACCCTGTCTTCTCCCAAAAACCCGGTTGTCCTCAGCGCAAAAATGCTCAAGTGTTTATCGATTGGGATATTTAAAGATGCAAGCCGTTCCCGCAGGGCCCTCATCGTTTTCAGCTGGGCATTCAAAATGATTCTAAACGAAGCTGCAGAGTTCATGTAAAGATCAAATTCAAAGGCCGGCAAAAGTGGCGTCACAATGATGACCCTAAATGAAGAGTCTCCACCAAAATGAGCCTTTTCGATCCTTCTGGCGATGGCAGCAGCTATTCGGTTGATAGGCTGTGGCTCTGCCATGCCTTGCTCCCATGGTTCGGCGTATGGATTTTCAACGCAACTGGAGATAAAGAATTGGTTTTCAATGTAAATATAGCTCTGGGATTCTTCAATCAAATTTAAATAGGCATCAAGAATGGAGTGATCTGGCATCAAAGTTCCTGCGCTCCACGCGCCGCGCGAAAGCAATAGCGAAACTTTGCATGTGCCAAGTGCAGGGTCAGCTGGGCCTTTTGCTAAGGGAAGCAGCCAAGGAAGCTCGTCGGACCGATGCATGGACTTTGTCCACTTGACAAAGTTCCACCGCTCACAAAAAAAGCGATGCAGCAAGAGGGGAACGGTAGAGCCTTCCAACTGAAGATGCACATCATGCCAAGGCATTCTGGGAACACGAGACCTATCAACAAGAGTGGCCATGTGTCGATGGACGTTTCTAAAGTCGCAGAACCTTGGATTGTAATAATCCTGTCCGACCCAGTTAGTGGACTCGCTTCTGTCTAGGAGACAGCCAGGCGATGCGAGCCCATTTGGCATTGAAGCTTTGAGGACTGGATTTTCTTTACCTGTGGCTATAAACAGTGAAGAGAATGACCATGATGTCTGCTCAATGCTCGCAATCGGCTTTTTCTCATCCAAAAGAAGCGAAGCCGAGGAAGAGCCCTCAAAACGAGAAGACAAAAACTTACTTTCACTTAAAAGATGGTTTTGGTCGTCATATCTTCCAAAACAAAGATCAATTCCCCCCAAAAAGGCAACTTTGCCATCCACGATGACCAGTTTTTCGTGGTGGGCCCAATAGGAAGGCGGTAGATGATCCGGATGTCTTTGGACCATTATTCTTGGCGACAGGGTTTCAAGCGCCTCTTTTGTGTGGCGGGAATTCAAATACAAAGCAAAAGACCACTCTTTAAAAATCAGAATGTAAATCAAAACGCCCGAATCTGCCTTTCTCTTGAGCAGCAAATCGAGTCTAGATTCGGGATACTTCTCAGCCGGTCTTTTAAGATAAAGCTCGGGCGAAAGCCACCACCCCATGATAAATATTTCCTTCTGGGCCGATTCAAGAACATCTGCCAGCGAGGAAAAATAAGATGCAGCATCGATGAACCAATTGACATGCTGTTTCGAAAACAAGGCATCCTGCTTTGAAGGCAAAGCAAGTCTTGCAAAGGAGGGGATCCACTGCGAAAAGGGGGCTCCAGCCACGATGGCCGAAAATTGGTGCCTCGTATTCCAAGCCGTAAACGAAACAAGAGACGCAGAACTGAAAGAAGACGGCTTGATGGAAAGCGTTCCGATTTGGACCCTTTCAAAGGAAAAGGACGAAGCTTCCTGGTTATCGATAAACAAAACCCGTAACGGAGTGCGAGATGTGATGTCCTCCAAAATCACCAGCACCCTGTCGGAACAGCTAATATGAACCCAGCGTCTTTCCCCTGCAAACAAAGGCCAAGATGAAAATTTGGAAAAAAATCGAGGTACCCAAGAAAAGACTCCCCCCATCGAGGATGAAGCGCCAATGGAAGCATCGATGGTGTCCCGTGTGTTTACCTTTAAATAGCCTTCCTTATCCTTTGTTTTGACATTTGTGGCCTTAAGGCCTAGCAATGTAAAGGAAGAGATTTCCAAAAACTCGGCAAACTCCACAATTGAAGATGGTTTCAAATGAAGGACCTTAGCAAGAGCCTGAAGGTATGATTCCAAAGCAGCCCTTCTTGCAATGGCAAAGGAACTGGGAGTTGATGGCATATTGCCCGATTTGGAAGACCAGCTGACATGATGCTCTTTGAACGCATAAGCAACATGAAATGGAAACGGCGGAAGAACCCCAACATGTCCCTGGAACTGCCGCAGCGTAAGAAGTGCATGTAATTTAAGGAAATCAATAAACCTCCTTTGGATGTTCCAAGTGAGCTTCTGTTTATCTCCATAGCAAATTTTGACCTCAAAAGTGGTTGCCGTGGTGGGAGACACTTCCAGATCGTCTGATGCTGGAACTGTTATTTCAAATAGGGCAGAAAGAAGGGGGATTGGTGGGATCCATTTGGTCTTTTTTGCGGAAAAAATCCACGGCCAATTTCGCCAGAAATTCCGCACCTCTTGCTCGATGGTGGGCGTATGCGAAAACGTGATCAGCGGCAAAATAAAGGCAGCAGAAAGAGCATAAGATCGGGACTCGATTTTACTCTTGTCGATGGTGGGAACCGTTCGAGAAGGCTTTTTCCAGCGAAAATGGGAGGTGTACGAATGAATGGTAGATTGCGCCCAGTTGCTCCAGCGACGTCTCTGAAATAGGGCATGGAACGAGGGAGATTGGAAAAAAGAGAGCGAACGCCGCAGAGAATCCAACTTTTGCTTAAACGAGTGAGTGAATCCAGCAAACAGGGGGCTTTCATCCTCGTCATCGTGCAAATTGAGATGGGCAAATATTTCTTTATTGAAATCAACGATATCCTCGTCACAGTCTGATGGGATTGCATCTCGTAAATTTTGAAGCTGCTTGTACTGGGCTTGGACTTTTTGATGATAGTGGGATGAATGCCAACAAAATTGCGACGAAACTTTGACAACACACAAACCAAAATTTGAAGATTGGGCCTCTTTGTATCGATGATCGCCACTGATCAAAAGCGAATTGTTGAAATTGTGGCATGTAAGGATTCCATGAGAGCATGTAAAAAACTCATGCATTAATCGGAAAATTAAAGCACGCAATTTTTACATTATAATGTGGACTAGCCCCAAGTTTATGAAGTGCCCACAACACACCTAGCCGTGCATATGTAAATTGTTTGTTACTCAAATTAATTGTTTGGTTGACGACCGACTACACCAGATCGCCACCCTTAAAATTTAAAAGCCTAACCCTAAAATAGGACACGGCGCTGACTCTGGCACTTGCAACGGCATTCAAGGGCATTCAACTCCACATATTTAATATCTCAAAGCTTTGGACCTTAAATCCACAAGGGAGCACCCACTTTTCTCTGCAAGAAAATTAAGAATCACTATCTCATGGCCAAAAGCTTCCCAATATCTAAAAATGGCCTGAAAAAAGAACACATCAAGATTTACATCCAGAACGACATATAATACTCTTGTTAGGGTTGAGAGGTAGCGAAACTTTGTTAACTTCAGAGCCAATCGACGTGTACGGGGCTTTCCGTGCGAAATGCTTGTCATTGTAAACGAGGTTGTTTTTGTTTATACAAATGGCGAGAATATCTCCTACCGCTCTGGATTCTGTGTGTATCACATATGGCCTCATCCATAATTTGACCTAAATTTTTCTGATCTCCACAGCGATATTTACTGCCATCTGTAAAGCTGTGGTGCAATCACCAAATGGCTCGATATATTTTAGGCTTGCTGGGTACATGTGTCCACAACGAAAAGAGAGGCTGAAGTACCAGCGCAAAATTGCACCATGCAAGGCGCTTAAAGACGCCTTGCATGTGCCGGTGGTAACTGTAACATCCGCAACAGAGGGGTTAGGGTTGGGTTGAGCAAAATCAGTGCCGACTAGATGCAAATGTGCATTAAATATTAAATATTTTGCCAGCCAATAACTTTGCCGTCATTGGCCGACAAGAGTTTATTAGTTGAAAAACAGTGTCTACCCTTTTCCCTTTTCTATATTCGCCATCATAATGAGTTCTCCGGAAAATCCAAACTTGACAAGCTTTTCCCGTCGCACGACTAAAAGCTCTGCAAAACTGGTCGTTTTCCCAGTTTCTGAATCAACACCTTTGATCAACGATGCATATGGATTGCAATACGATCCATCAAGCTTACGACGAGTTGCCGCATATTGCTGCAAGGGAGGAGTAAGTGGGATTTTTGATTGTAGGAATATTCCATCAGCTCCGTTGCATCTGCACTGAAAGGATTTCCAGAATCGTATCAGATTTGCGATGAAGTCATATATTTTAGCGTCTCTGCATCATCCCTTCAGGCCTTGGGCATTCAAGTGCCTTGGGGAGATTTCAAATTAAAAGAAGCCGCTGAACAATCATCTCTGAGATTAACATCTAGCCAATGCCCACCTTCGGTCCTGGTTTTTGAATATGGTGTTGTTGTGTTTTGGGGGCTTTCCGAAAAGCTAGAAAGGAGTGTGGTCGATGTTCTTGGAAAGCCTCGATTTCAAAAAGAAGATTTGTTCCCCAGACAAAGCACACCTCAGGAAGAAGTATTGCATTATTACATTGACGAATCATATTCGACAACCGGAAGAGTATATGGGGACGTCATAGTGATCAGAGTTGATGATTTCTCTGTTAGACTTGCAATTAGCCATGCTTTGGCTCAATCTGTTAAATTGGCCGTGTATGAAGAAAGACTTTCCGAGGCCCTCGATACCACGTGGCAGTTTCCAATGCAACTAGCCCAACTTGGGCATCTCTCCTCTACAAAAGCGTCTAAACGAGAGGTAAACAAGAAAATCGGGGAGCTGTTTATGTTAAGAATGCAGTTGAATCTGATATCAAATATCCTGGACACACCGGAGATTTTCTGAACACAAGTGCAATGGGAGGGTCTTTACAAGGCCGCCAGGTCTTATTTGGAAATTCCACAGCGCATAGAAGTCCTCAACCAGCGGATGTTGGTGATCTCCGATCTTCTGGACATGTTACGACAGCATCTGAGCACCCTGCATGGCGAATTTCTAGAATGGATTGTGATCATTTTAATTGCAATCGAAATCCTAATGGGAATAATTGAAATTTTTATTTTTGTAAAATTGGAAATTAAATAATCGAACGGTTTATTGGCAACTCCACCAGCCAATGGTTGCACGCTCCTGTAGTGTATGGACGCGACAAATGCTTATATTTCACAGAAGAGTTCTCTCCCACACGAAGGTCAAAATGAAGACGATATGTATTGCAATCATGGCTATCCTGATCACAATTGTGCTGATGGCGCCTGGTATTTCTGCAAAAAAGGCCTTTTGCAGCAACGGAAAATTCACTATTGACGGAACAACATTCCCACAGTACAACAGGGCATGCTATGCAAATGGCGTCATCACGCTGACAAACCTCCCGGGCTCTGAGGAAATTTCGTGGAAAGTAAGTGGAGATACGGGTGTCGGAAATGTTGAAGCCGCTCGGTCCAGTGCGGACTCCACAACAACACCAAAGGGCGGAAACATGTGGTGTATGAATCTCTGGGCACCCTCTTCGCCCAGCCATACGATATATTCAAACTCACTGGTCTCTCTGCAGGATTTGCACTCAAAAATCTGCTCAAAATCTGCCACCTCCGAAGAGGCTGAATTTGCACCGCCCCAAAACGAACAAACATCGATGCCGCTCAGCAAGGATGAAGAGAACATTCAAAATTTTTGGGGAATTTTCAAATTCGAGCTTATGAAAATAATGGCCCTGCCGGAGATGAAAAAAATCGAGCGAGAGTGTCTAATGCATGTACTTAAATATTGCTGCCCGAGCCAGCTGAAGGATTTTTTCCCCATGTTTTAAAAACCTGTAAATAAAATTAAACTTCGATTTTTTGCTAATTCCATAAAGATGCATGGGCATCACGATGATCAACCATTACCTCTTTTGCAGGAGGAGCTGCCCATTGCAACGTCTGCGGGAGGAACAGAAAACGCCAGCGACGGCGAAATTTCGGAGGAAAAAATCGTCATCACAGACCAGCCTGCGGATGAGCAATTAAATAAGATTTTTGTAATGGAGGAAGATGAATCCCCTCTTGAGATAACTGAAACAACGCAGTCCCCAAACAAGATCGCCAAGCGATCTTCCTCGGTTTCGTTTTCTGATTTCCGGTGCATTTGTAACGAGCCCTTTTTCGATTCCCTCCCATCTTCAGGCCTTATTGAGTGCTCCAGATGCGCCATATTCCAGCATGCTCGGTGCGTTGGGGCCGGGGAATCACAAGGCCCATTTTTGTGTGCTCGATGTATTGTCATTTCGCCTTTGCAGCAAAAATCGCTTTCGATTGCTCTTGAAGAGCCAATCTCCGATGGCTTGGGAGGCGAAATAGTAATTGATAAAAGTTCACCCTCGCTCTCTCCAGAGCTGGTCAGATCCTCAACTTCCTTTAAATCCCACACACAAATCCGCCCTTCTCTCCCAACTTTGCTTCCTGCCATTAAGAGCCAAGGGTTCATATCTGGAGGGGGATCTTCTTTGGCCACTCCCAAACAGGCAGAAATGATGTCCCATACTTTGGCACCGCACTTTCCAAGGATTACACCACCACTTTTGTCCTCTGCCTCTTCTTCATCCTCAAAACGGGGAAGAAAGCCAAAGATCTTGAAACAAAATCTCTCGCTTGAATCTGGTCTTGTTCCCGTTCTTTTATCGAAAGAGACCCTTCCTCCTTCTTTTAGTGAGCCAACTAGTGTAGAAAGAGTTCCCTCTTCTATTTCCTACATTCCGGCCGATCATTTAAGGATCAGTAATGATGCTAGGAGCCTCATTCACCACGCTTGGAAAGTCTTTTATGCATCCGCTCTCTCCAAGCGGCAGTCTAATCACAGAATTCCAAATGGAGTCCCAGCCGTTCTTGCGACCATTCCTCGCTTGATTTCTAACGAAACGGAAAAGAACAAGCCCGGATCGATTCTTGCACTTTTAATGAAGGAATTTTCTCTAAACTGCTCGTTTTGGTCTTTTGGAATGGAAGAGAGGCCAAGGTCTCTTCGACTTTTCACCCGCGAATTTAAGGCTCCAAATACGGGCACCAAATCTATCGGTGTGTTTCTCACCGAGGATGACGCCGCCGAAGGCAGCCGGCCATTGTTGCCGGGCTCCTTTATCACAATGCTGACGGGAACGCTTTTAACTCGCTCTGCACTTGCCGAAGAATTTGGCTCCTCCAAGGATGACAAAGCGGCATCTCGAATTCTTCAGTATTTTTTGTTCTTTCACCCTACGCTTCCTCTTGTTGTTGATGCCAGAAAGGCGGGAAATATGGCAAGATTTATTCGGCGCTCATGCCGCCCAAATGTGGCCATGCGGGGCATCTTTGTGACGGGAGGATCTCATGTCTCCCATTATAAGGAGGACCCTGAAAAGGCTCAAGAGAACATCAACGAAGCCGATCCCGATTCATTGGCAATTGCAACGTTCTCAATTGGGATATTTAGTGTGGACCGAATAAGACCCGGCATTGACGAGCTTATGCTCCCTTTGGATAGTAACGGATTTTGTTCTGCACCTTGTCCAGGGCCCCATACGGGCCATAGCCGCTCCTGCCTAGATCCCTCATGCTCGATGCCTGTTTTAACGTGTGGCGAGGCACCAAATTCGTCGTCATTGCCGCCTCCACCTGCCATAACGACCTCCACCTCCTCATTGCCATCGACGAAAGAATCTCCACAAGCGTCATCGAAAAGAAACTTGTCTTCATCATCAGCATCTTCTCCCTCTTCGGTTTCATCTTCTCGTCATGGCCGATCCAAAATGGGCAAGAAGAGAACAGCTATTTTGAGTCCGGTTTCACCGCTATCCCCAACGTCTTCTGCCACAAATACCCTTTCCTTGAGCAGGGAGGAGCGCAAGCTTCAAATGTATATTGAATCCATCCAGCGGCTCGAGCAGCGCGAGAAGCGCAAGGGCCCGCGGTGACAACCATTTATTGCCCCGAGATCTTTATTTAATTATGTCTGAAATATTTTAGGCCAAGCCAGTTGAAAAAGATAAAGAACACACTGATCGGCAGCGTAAGAAACACCAGCAGGCAATAATAGCGATCAGAGCTGATGGCCGTGGCCCACTAATGTAAAGATTTTATTATCATCAATTTACCCATGGTTCCGATGCATGCCTAAAAAGCGGGATTTTGGAGAGTAATAAAATGTATATGCTTATGGAGAAAAAGAAGAACGAAGACGCGAGCAGTATGTAGCCCAACAGTTGGGTCTGGTCTCTCATCTTGATGCTGCGCTGCGCTGGGCTCGGCTGGCAAACAGCTGCAAAATCTGCTGATGGCCAATCAAAACCCACTGGCAAAAATTACATTTAAATTATCAGCTGCAAGCTAAAGTTTAAACGTTGGCATTGGCAGGCAACCGGCGAATTGGGAAAACCATCGCGAAATGGCCAACGTGCGGCATTCAAAAGACCGCAAAAGCACTACGCGTGGGCGATGTGTTACGAAACAGCGTCACCAACATATCAAATCGGAACTTTCTTGCAATCGAACTCTTCTATCTCTAATCAACGCGTGAGGAGATAACTTGAAAGGATCTGCGTCAATTGCAAGTTATTGGTTAATTTAATAAAAACGCATGTGTATAAAACACTCTATCGGACTCTATCGGACTCTATCGGACTCTATTTGGGTTGCGGGGGCACCAGTGAAAGCGACACACTGGATCCCATGTTCTGCTTTGGATCGGCCTTGTATTCATAGCCCATGGAGTCATGAGACAAATATTGAAGGCTAGGAGAAGACCGCATCGGAACAGCCGTTATGGGAGAAGCAGAAACTGCTCCAGATCTACTGTTCATCTGGCTGTTGTTTCCGGGGTACGAACCCCAGGAGTTGGAGTATTGAGATGTTGGAGAACTAGATGTTTCAATAGAGACGGAGTGTGCAGGGAGGCTCGAATCCATGTAGAAGCATGTGGTGGGGCTAGGTGCGTTTTTGCGGATGTCCTGAAGCAGTACGCCTTGTGTGGGGTCCATCGAAATAAGCATGTTGATCAGATAATCTAACTTCTGCTCCAAATAATGATTTGCTCTCGTCAGCTCAATATTTCCCTGATAAAGTAGCTTATTTTCTCGAGAAAGGGACGAGATTAGGTCCTGTTTTTTTTTACGGCAACGTTCTGCAGCAAGTCTATTTCTCTCCTTTTTTGAGGGAGCATTTTGAGTAGGTGCTGTGCCAGACATGGTGGGGGAAGAGGGTGCAGATGTAGTGCCATTGCCGTTCGAGGAGTTATGGCCGCTATTGCTGGAATAGTACTCTTCAAAATGTGGAGAAGATGGATACATATGATGATGGCGGTAAGAAGATGGAATCGAGTATGCGCCCTCATAGGGAATATGCGAGTGCGACCGGCGAACACTATCGGCTCGGTGGAAATTGATATCGGAATGGACATGGAGATGGCGTGGGTCAGCCTCAGGCTCATCCACATAGGAGCTATCATCTTCTTTATAATGATCTTCTTCGTGCAAATGTTGGGGATAAGGAATGTGATACGCGTCGGGTCCTCCTCTATTTCTTCCAAAGTTTGGAATCTGCGAGGCCTCATATTGGGAAGGCAGTGGTGGCGAACCAAAATTTTGAGCTTCATCTGTGGCAAAATCATTCTGCGAGGGTGAGGAGAATACTCTAAGCAAATGATGATGGTTTTGTGGTTGATCAAAGAATTGTTGGTGCACTTGGCTAAATTGAGACGGTGATGGAAGCGAAAAAAATACAGGTGGTGACGAGGGTGAGGGCGATGTTGCCATGAAAGCACCATTAGGTCCTACATTCGCCATTCGGCGCCCATTGGCAATGGGGATACCATTATCCTCGGTGCCGGCAGAGGATGACGAGTAGACAAAGCCCAACCCGTTGGAGTTGCCAGAAAAAGGCAGCGTATGGTTGAGATCAATTGAAGATGCTATGGATTGTGCCTCATGACCTGTCTTTGTCATCGAAGCTGCCAGTGATGATTCAGCGGGTGAGAAATTGTGGAGTGATCTATGTGATGATATGGAGGATTGATCTTCGTCAGCATTAGTCGGGACATAGTCATCGAAATATTCTTCCCCTTCAAAGGGTTCTTCCTCCTCATCAAATACTGTTTCTGTGCTGAGGATATCCGAGCAACTATACATTAACACTTTTTCAAGAAGTAAAAAAACGGACTCCACACTATATCTGGCGATTGGTTGAAGCATAAAACGCAGTGCAAACTGATGCTAATGAGTAAGTATGACAAATTTTCCATTTTAATCTTTTCTAATCAAGTTGGCAAAATTAAACACAAGTTCGGCGTAAAAATCTTGTCGTTTAATTTAAATTTAAAATTGATTGAATGGTCCTTAATGACCTTGGCCGCAGTCTCCGAGACGCCCTAGCAGGGTTCAATCGGGCTCCAAATCCGGATCAAAAAGTATTCAAATGTTTGCTAAGTCAAAATCTAATAGGCCATTGATGCACTGATGAACGACGTCTGTAGAGCGCTTATCGGCAGCGATGTAAATATAGCCATGGTGAAAAAGCTGCGAACAAATGTGCTCGCCTCGATTGAGACAAATCTTGGATCTGGCGTAAATAAGCAGCGTCTTATCCAAAAGGCATCATTTTATTGGCTGACCTTTAGGCGGTCATCGATGAACTCTGCTCGTTGATTGATCCTGGAATCCCGCCCTGGCAGCCTCGTCGGGGACACCGAAATGTTGTCATGTTTGTGGGTCTTCAAGGCTCTGGAAAAACGACATCCTGCACTAAGGTAAGAGAATCGCCCTCTTCTTTACTAGTATGCCCTTTTTTTTATGAAGAAAGGATTCAAAGTCGGGCTTGTTTGTGCAGACACTTTTCGGGCCGGTGCGTATGATCAGCTACGTCAAAATGCAACAAAGGCGAGAATCCCTTACTTTGGCTCTTATTCTGAGCCAGATCCGGTCAAAATTGCTCTTCAGGGCCTGCAAAAGTTTACACAAGAAAAGTTTGAACTTATCATTGTCGATACCAGTGGAAGACATGCTCAAGAAACTTCCCTGTTCCAGGAGATGGTGGACATTGAAACTGCTGTGGTAAGTCCCACCTCTTGTTTGGAAAGAATTTTACATCCATTTGCCCGTGTAGCCTACTGACATTTAGTGTCCCGATAATGTGGTCTTCATTATGGATGGCTCCATCGGGCAGGTTGCTGATTCCCAGGCTCGCGCATTCAAAAGTGCCGTCAATGTTGGGTCAATTTTTCTCACCAAAATGGACGGGCATGCCAAGGGCGGCGGTGCGCTGTCTGGTGTTGCTGCCACCGGCTGTCCAATCGTATTTATTGGTACTGGAGAGCACGTTGACGATATCGAGCGGTTCTCGGTTCGCCCGTTCATATCCAAGCTTTTGGGAATGGGTGACATCGGTGGTCTCATTGAAAAGGTTGGATCGGCTATTCCAAATTTGCTTATTACCTCCATTTTCGGTTATGCCTCCGAGTTTTTGCACATTGCCTGTGCCATTTCCCTGTGTTCATTTAATTGCCATTTCCCTGTGTTCATTTAATTGCCATTTCCCTGTGTTCATTTAATTGCAATTCCAAGACTGTTGGTGGTGTTTTATTTACTCGTTCATTTTGGTGTAATTTTTAACTTGGCTAGGTCCAAGATATCCGCATAGATTCGGCCCATAAGGACCTGCAAAAGCACATTGAGCAGGGGATTTTTTCTCTCAGTGACCTGCAGGAACTTTTCTCGATGATTTCAGGAATGGGTCCACTTTCAAACATCCTCAACATGCTTCCAGGCGGTGCAGATCTGATGGCAGGCCCAGATATCGGCCTTCGAATGCGCCGATATATGACTTTGTTGGATAGCATGCACTCCTCAGGTGGGTAAACTGTTTTTCCTATCCCTTGCTAGAACTTTCCGCTGATGCTCGGATTTTTTCTACCCAGCCTGGGCGTGCAAGGAGGGTATGTGCCGGTTCTGGATGCGATTCTACGCATTTGGCAGAGCTTCTTGAGCAACACAAAAAGTTTGCTGCTTTGATAAAACAAATGGGTGGGCCAAAGGGGCTACTAAAGAACCTATCTGGCACAAATCACGTATCCAATAGCCAGCAAATGGCAAAGATGTCTCGATTTGTGCCTCCAGAGCTCCTGCAGTCGATGGGTAATCTTGTGTTTCTCAGCTATCAGGTGGCATTTCCGGCCTGCAAGATATGATGAAGAGCTTTGGTGGCAACATCAATTCGGGCAAAAAATGAGGGCTTTCCACAAATAAAACTTTAAATTTAGCCTGCTGGCAAAATTTTCAACGCTTCATGGAAGATTCGGGTAGCATCAACTGCAACACTTCAAATAGAGACATGCGGCTTGCTCTGGGCCAAATTCAAAAGGTAAATGCCGCCATATTTGCAACCTCTAGTTTAATGAGCAGGTTGTAGGCATAAATCAAGCCGTTCTTCTGCTTGGAGACAAGCTGCGCAGCGTGGAGAGCAGTATCGGTCTTTTGACTACGCTGATGCAGGCATCGCTTTGCAATGCACAGCAGGACTCTTGAAGAATGGCAAATGGCGAGCTACATTGTAATTGGCATGGAGATGCCCGGTCGCACGTGCTCTTTGTGCCCAGTAAATCAGCACTTGTAGACTTGAGTTTGTAACCTTAAAGTTCACATTTTACTTTTTTTARTTTTTAATCCATGGCCCTAAGTATGATGGAATTATGATAACTTTTCCCGTTAGGAACCCAGTTTGAGAACAGAAACGATGTTGGTGTGTTTGCAAAACTGACAAATAGCTATTGCCTCACTGCCATTGGTTCCGCAGAGAACTTCTATAGTGTGTTTGAGGGCCAATTGAGGGACCATATGCCCGTCATTCACTGCTCCATTGCAGGGACTCGTGTCATCGGAAGACTTGTTGTCGGCAACAGTCGCGGGCTATTAGTTCCCAATTCAACAACCGACCAAGAGCTTCAATTCCTCCGTCTCTCTCTTCCTGAAAAGATTCAAATCCAACGGGTGGAGGAGCGGCTTTCTGCATTGGGAAATGTGATTGCCTGCAATGACTATGTTGGGCTTGTGCACCCCGATCTGGATCGGACAACGGAGGAGCTTATTGCCGATGTTTTGGGAATAGAAGTTTTCAGGCAAACCGTTGCCCAACAGGTGCTTGTGGGCTCCTATTGCGTCCTCACCAACCAGGGCGGATTGATCCACCCAAGAACAACTATCGCAGAACAGGAGGAGCTTGCATCGCTATTGCAAGTTCCCCTCGTAGCTGGCACTGTCAACAGGGGGTCTGATGTTATTTCTGCAGGTCTTGTGGCCAACGACTGGACTGCCGTGGCGGGACTCGATACCACAACCACAGAGCTCTCCGTGATCGAGGGTATATTCAAAATACAGATGAAGGGAACCAATGTGATGCGTTCCATGTCCGGAGTCGATAGCTCTTCCATGGAAAATATGATGAACCACTAAGTTCCAAAGTGCATACCTAAGTTATGATGGAGATCGCCAACAAATAAATTTTAATTTTTAATGGAGGAGTCGCTTTTGTATACAAGACTGGTCACCCTCCAACTGCGGCCCTTTGGAGAAATTGTCCAGGTTCGTCACGGCAATTGTAACTTTTCCTTAGACCGTCGGATCATTCATCGCTGCAAGAGGGCCTCAAACGATTGGCTCTTTAGTGCAGGGCCTGCAATTAGGCCATTCCATTAAGAAAATTAAAGAGGCGCTTTTGGTTTTGACCAGCCAGCGCTTCATCGCTCCTCGCTCGTCTTCCTCTGCAGGAGCATCGACGCAGATATTTTACTCGCTATCCCGACAGGGAGTTATTGAGCATCTTCTGCATCCACTGATCATTGAAGAAGTCCAGCTGCACACAGAAGCCTCGCTTTCACAAGATGCTCTCTCTCTGTTCATCAGAACCATCATGAATGGGGGAAGCATTCTGACCACAGAAGAGGGGCCTTCCAGCCGTCAACACCTCGAGTGTCTCGTTGCTGCTGGATTTTTGAAATGTGATAGCAATGACGACCCATCTGCTGAGGACGAAAAAAAGGCCGCCTTTGCATTAGCAAAGGACAAGAAAAGACCGCAAGTCACAGGCAATGACGAATATGCAATGATGATTTATTCACAAATACATCCTTCGGAGCCGTCTTCCGTAGCAAAACGTATCAAGGTGACGCTTTCGCCAGTGTTGCATGTCAATTGGGACCTGTTTCGCTTCCGATTCCAGTCTCGCTGGCTGATAGATTTCTTCTCTACCCGGATCCACCAATCTGCCGGGGCCATAATGAAGATCATTTTGGACAAACTGGAAAGCAGTAGCGTCGCCATTTCCTCGACACGTATCACGCTATTTGAGATCGTTCAGAATCTGTCCCCAGATGCTTCTTCCGTTAAAGTTGGACAGAGCACCCAGGGGCCGGCAACCTCGTCCTCAATTGTTCCCAATATTACGTCCCTCATATTGCTGATGATTGATTCTTCAATGGATATTCTTCATAGGCATAAGGACGAGTCTGAGTTGTCAGTGGGGCTAAATTTAAATGCAATGAAACGAGCCTCGAAAACGCTCCTCTGCGAAAAATACATCCAAGATAGATTTGGTGATAATTCTCTTAGGATATTTCGGCTTCTCGGGCTCAAACAGCTGCTGGAAGAAAAGCAGATTTCCAAATTTGCCATGCTTTCTTTAAAGGATGTCAGAGAAAGGCTCTTTCAGCTGCACAAGAACGGCTTTGTCTCGATTCAAGTAATTATTTGGCCCTAACCCTAAAATAGGAGGTTCCGCGAACATTGGACTTTGCTCCTTCTAGGACCATCTTTCTTTGGAAGCATGCGGCCGATTCTCGCTATCCACTTTCTCTTAGATGTCTACAGGCTATCGTAAACTGCTTGGAGAGAGCAACTCTGGAGGTCGATACCAACAATCCCTCTAATGCGGAGATTTTAGAATCGCATGCAAGTTCCGTGATCGCTAATATGGCTCCTATACTGCTGTGGCTTTGAAAGTTGTATTTTAATTAAAATTAAAATTTATTTAACTAACCCGCACCAGTCAACCAGCCAACAAATTAGCAAATTAATTAATCCACCCATCAATGAATGCCACCCATCCTATTGAATGGCTGTTTACCACTCTTCAGTTTGCAAAATCTCCAACATCACCTGACCAAGAAAAACCACATTTTCTGACGCTGATAACGGACCATTTTCAGGCGGATGGGTCTCATATTGTCCTCCATCTGGCCAAATATATTCTTTCCTCCACTCTCAAGAAGCTATTGATTATCAAGGGAAAGCTTTCTCCTGTAGAAAAGTCGACCATAGTTTCCTTCTTAACGCAACATGAAAAAAGGGTTCTCATTTTTGACGAAGAAAATGTTGACGAAGGTCCTATTGGGATCGATGAATATGTCATCATTGCATTGTATGTAGACCATCTATCGGAAATGATCAGAAAGTCTCGCTGCGATACCTTTCTACTGCCATTTCCGCAGCCTGTTTTGGAGGAAAATTTCTTGCGTAAATGGGCAATGTATCATTCGGCTATTCATGTAAATATTGCACCTCTCCCTTCTGGCTATTCTTCCTCAGCCGATGGAAAAATATCCGTTTCTGCTGGTCTTTTTTGTGACGCTTCTGGCTTCTCATTAACCGATGTCTCTTTAAAAAATAGCCTCCCTTTTTCTTTACAATATAAAATTTCGCAATCAGGCGATGACATTCAAGTTTGGCACCACAAATAGGTGCAAATGGAGATGTTTATTTGTCGCAAGGCATGTTTAAAGAGGAATAAAGCGCACCATACCAAGGGTATTCCGAGGTGAAAGCACAAAGCCATTTTTGCTGCATGTCACATTAAAAGGAGTTAGGGGATGTTCCAAAAGAAAATGAAATATGTGCTGGTCCCTCATCCCGAGTCACCATGCATCATCGTGTCAGGTTCGTATTGGCGGAATAACGTTAGTATGCGGGGAAATTTTGAATCCGGTTTGGTGGAAGCAAAGCCTAAAAGATACATCCATCTTCGTAGCGCGATGAAGGAGCTCTGTATGAGTACAAGCTCAATTTCTGGGAAAGAAATGGCCAAAATTTAATATCCCAGCCCAACCGTCAGTAGCAAACTCAAAGTGGATCGTGAAGCGATGTCAATCGATTGTTTTCACCAAAAGTTTCCCACGGAATCGGCTGATTTCAAAAGAAGAATCACAATGGGCCCACATAACCCAGTGATATTCTGGAACGGCAAAAAAAAATACAAAATAAAATGGCGAGCTCTGCTTTAGAGCCGGATTCGTTTTGATAGAAGGACACAACAACGGGATCCTCTGCATTGGTGTGTTTGAGCACATGAAATATTCAGACACGGCAAATATAGTCGCCAGTAAAGCACAGCCTTTAAATACAGAGTTAAAGAACACATCCTTGAATGAAGAACAATTGTTTCCCTTTACGAATGGAGAAAATGTTCTGTCCTGCCCTAAGCGGTCAAGACACACGGGTAGGTTAAGATGATTTGACGGCATTTTGCGGTCAAAATGAATTCATCAAAGAGTTTATCTGGTAAACAAATCCACCCAAAATTTGATCACGCAAGCCGTGGTGATGAGTTTAACATCCACGGCACATCTAAGAATTACGTCAATTTTTATATTTTATCAATGATTTAGATCACCCGTTTAATTGCGCGATCAAGTGGCGATGGATACGGCGAGTTGAAGAGCACAGGTTATTTTTACTATTTACAAGGAGAATTTAAAAACGAATAGAATTCATCGTACATTCCAGCAACGTTTCTTTCATTGAACACTGGGGCCAACTCGTCAAGACCGGGACCAGCCCTATCAACAACCCCGGTGGTAAAATTAGCGTTTCTTAGCACCAAATCCATAAGCTCAAGTCTTTCATTCGGAGTGGTTCCTGGAAAATGCAGGACAAGATCACCGTCGCCGTACCAAGGGTATTCTGAGTTGAAATCGCGAAAGCCTCTTCTCTGGACGTGACATTGGAAAGAGGTAGGGGCTTCGTCCAAAAGATATTGGAGGACACCTTGATCTTCACTCCACCATTCACCAGTGTCCTGGTTACATATTTCAAAAACTTCATTAAGGGGAGCCGGGATCTTCAATCCGGTTTCTTTAAAAAAATCGGTGCAAGATAATGCCATCTTTTGGGCGAGGGGAAGAAAGTTGGTCACGGTCCAAGGGGAATTTCGAAGAAAGTAGTGCCCAGCATTTATTATACGTGCCCAAGGAGACTCAATCAGCGGATTGACCGTAAAAATGGCATCAAACGGCGTGTTTTCAGTAAAAGTTGTCAGTGGAATTGACTGGTTTAAAAAAAGAGAATCCCCATCGGCCCACATAACCCAGTCATATTTTGGAAGCATGTATGACATCGCGAAAAATTTCAAGTAATGAAGCGATTTGTACTTTGGCTTAAATTCCTTTTCGTAGAAAGAGAGAATAACGGGATCGTCCAACACATCAACGACGTCATATCCAAACTTCTCAGCATATTGCTTGAAATTGGGGAACGATCGTTTTTTTAGGTTCTGGGCATTATTATCCTTCGTAAAATAAGTAACGATGGCAATCTTTTGAGATGAGGGAGCATTGGTGTTTGCCGATTCTTCAGAAGAAGACGCAGTGCGGTAAGAAAGGCTAGCAGATGCGGACTCCACAGCAGCTGGGATGATGTTTTGTGTTTCTATATCTTGGTATATGAAATATCCAACAAGAAAAAAGATGGCCACTACTAGGGCACACTTTTTAAATATAGGGCTAAAGAAAAGATTGTTAAATGAGGGGAGATTATTCCCTTTACGGACGAAGAAAATATTCTGTCCTGGCCTAAAATGGTCATGGTATATAGGCAGAACATTATAGTGCGAAGACATTATGGGGGGAGGGAGAAAAATACATCTGCGAGCTGATTGATACGACTTAAAAGTAAACAAGCCCACATATACATTGATCTGGCCCGATTTGGGGATAGGCAGAAAAACACACGCAGCTGGGATCGAACCAGCAGCCTTGAAGCTGCCACCACCACGTGCCAACCAACTAAGCTATGGAAACAACACCGCGCGCTGAAGGCTTTTTTTAATTTGTAATTGATTAAGATCAATCTCAAGTGACTTTTCATCTTTCAAAGATGCAATCGGATCCAGACACAAGCGACAATAAATCGACGGCTAGCCCCAAAGAGGAGGCCATTTATAAACTTTCCGCATCTACTTCTGCTTCCCCCGGACACCTGGATCGCTATGACTGCTTTTTCATTTTTTTGCTTTTTTTGCCCTCTTGTTTTACGAGATTTAGGTTTATTAGTGTTCCTTTCGATACGGTGTACGCTGCTCTTGTAATTATAGGTTTGATGAAGTTCATTTTGGAACTTTTTTGAATAATTACGTCGCCAGTACATATTTTTTTGACATCGTACCGCCGCTTGCTAAATTGCTGTATTACGGAATAGCGGTCATCATCGGATATGATGGTTCTTTCCCGTTCACATCAATCGGCCAGTCATACAAAGCCGGAAGATTTCCCATAGTGGCATTTAGATCACTAAGCTCACTGTTGGGATGTTTATTGATCCCACTAGCCTTTATAACTTTGAGGAAATTGGGTGTTTCGTCGCCATTCGCTTTTTCTGCTTGTTTTATTCTGCTTTTCGGTACCATGTGGCTCTTACCTTAGACAACTCGTTGATGCTATCATGCAGATATATGCTTGCAGATGGTCCTTTTATTTTCCTTGCGTTTGTGTCCTTTTATTTTCTAGTAAACGCAAATGTTGTCCAAAAGTATGCACCGTTCTTTTCCTTCATACTAGCAAGCAACCATCCTGTTTGGTGAATTTGTGCATGTCAAGTGTATTTGCTGGCCTTGCTGCAAGTACCAAGGTTTTGGGGCTGGCCACCGTTGCCTTTGTTCTAACCAATTCATTTCTTTTTACGAAGAAAGCCTTTGGCTATAAAATCGCCTCCAAAATTACCATGTTTCTTTTCTCGATTTCTCTGGTCGTTTACACGTTTGTGCATTACATCCATTTGTCGATCCTGACAAAAAACGGTCCAGGTTCTGTTTGGATGTCTCCTAGCTTCCAATCCACTTTGGCTGCTTCCGATTCCGATTCAACACTATCTTTGAGATGTATCTAATTTTTTTATACCCTTAGTCGGCCATCCTATTAAACTATGTTCCTATTCAAAATATATCCCGGTCTGCCTTGCTGCTGATGGAAGGTCGTACCCACAAATTCACTTGGATGGCAAAGTTAGCAGCGGCGGGACTGCAGTGTTTGGAACTAGCTCATTGGAAAGTCCGTCCGGCGATTCTGTTTGGGTTTTAAATTTTGTGTCTGGTGAAGCAAATGGCGACCTTTTCGCTAATATTTATCATCCAAAGACCGACTCGTATCTTTTAACACACGATGTCGCCTCTCCTTTGACATTAACCAACATGGAGGTGACCACTACAAAGGATAAATTTAACCCGCATTGCGTCTGGAAACTTTTAAATGTTTCTTTGCCTGTTTCTTCAAAGTCGTTTATCTTTAAAATTGTAAACAATGTCACCGGCACCGTTCTTATTGATTTTGAACGAAATCTTCCAGAATGGGGACGCTATCAAAGGGAAATTAGCAGCAGCTCCAAAGTTTTGCTTTCAGGTCACCCTCCAGATCGATCTTGTTGGAGCATGTATCCGGAGACCTATCGACGCGGCGAAAGTCCAAAGACGAGGTCATTTTGGCTCAAATTTGTAGAACATCAAATCCTATTTTACAAGTTCAACATGCTACTTGATGGAAATCATCCTGCCGCATCTGACCCGATATCGTGGCCATTGCATCCTGGGATTAACAAAGGAGTGTCTTTTTGGGATGATATCTACTTAAATAAGCACATTTATCTTATTGGAAACCCGCTTGCATGGATTTTATGTGTGCTTGCACTTATGGTATCTCTTTTTGCCCTCCTGGTTTGCTTTAAAAGCTCCAAGGAGACCTTGTTATTTCTTCCGCTTGGAGCCTGGGCCTTTCACTATTTACCATACTTTCTTTGCCGTACGAAGCTTTTATATTTACACTATTACTTGCCAGCATTTTCGTTTTCAGCTCTTGCCGTCGGTTGCATGCTTCAGTATTTTTTCCGCTCAGGAAGGGCAAGCACGTTGACTGCCGCCATTCTTGGGCTATGTGCAGCTTTAATATATTGCGCGTATTTGAAAATTTCTCTCTTCAACAATGGGGTCGAGTCCCTTTCAAATGAAATTTTAGATTTTCTTTCTGATTCCTCTTCCCATCCTCTTTCCCTTCTATTAATGAATTGAAATAAACCCATTGCAAGGCGTTCATTATATTAATCCAATCAAAAGCAGCCAAATGCTTAAGAACTCGATGGAGGAACTTGGATAAAGTTCTGAAAATCCCGACAAGGACCAGTAAGGGTCTATTATTTATAAGTTACACCTCTCCTTTCGAGAAGATCCAAAACAGCGTCTGGTAGGGATCCTGTAACCGATATCGCATATATACCTTGAGTGACAGTATCCGGGATTCGCTGCCAACGAGAAACCCAAGATTCACCTGGTCTCATTAACGCTACAAGGCCGTGGAACTGTGCCGTCGTACACTCCGACACCCTATCGGCAGAGCCTTTGATCCTGAGGATTGGTTCACAATTTTCACACCCATCTTTACGAAATTGTAATGCAGACTAGAAGTAAAAGCAAGCTTTTTTACTTTAACAAGCGAACATAGCAAGCAGGCCCGCAGCTTGCGCGAATCAGAGGGAACTAGAGAAGCAGAGGCATCAGACATAATTATTGTTTCTTGTAAATAAATTTGTGCTTTTTATTGATTTGCAAAATTTAATTTAAGAATAGGGTTACGAACCCCATCAGATGGAACGTCCATGTCACCCCACACTCTGACGTTAAAAATTGGCCAAGTTTAAGTTCAGGCTGGACTTCAAAATAACTATCTCTTTCTTCACTTGGGGCAGACATTCTGATGCAGAACAGTCGATAAAACCAGATATTCTAATGCAGAACAGTCGAT